ATGCGCCAGTCGAGCTGTGAGCACGCGAAAGACCATGGAATGTTCCGGATGCCGTACCTTGGAGACTTCCAAGATCTTAGATAAGGCACTTCAGGTAGGTACCTTGGGTATCTACCCCGTACCTTCTCCAAGTCGAGAGACCACCGACTGGCAAGACTACCTAAGGTGGCAGTCACGCAGTCAGTCAGTCTGGCAGGAGAGCCGTTACGGCACTGGGGGAGGTGCCTTCTAGGTTGACTTGCCGCACCCGAGCAGCCCCGCGCTCATCCACCAAACCGACGGGAAGCTAAGACATGGGAAAGTGCCTGCCTACCTTACCCAGGCACACAGACAATTGGAAGCCAGATTCCCAGGTACCTTCCTTGTCTTACCTAATCTTCCGTCTCACATATCAAAGTGAGGTGGTCATCTTACCTCCTGGGTGCTCCTTCCGAGCCTCACCAGTCCCGTTGGTCAAGGCAGGCAGGCATGTAGGTAGATAGGTAGGTAAGCAGGAAGGTAGGAACCTGTACCTTCCATCGAGACTTGAGCAAGTCAATGACAGGGCATCACGGGAAGGTGGGCGTCCTCAGGTGAGGCAGGCGCGGCAACACGGCTCAATATGTGCTCCTTCTCCATTCGGATGTTCTAGCCAACATTGCATCGTACCTAAGCTACCTGGCTGCTGAAGGCTCACCAGCACCCATCGTCCAGCCCTTTTTTGGCCTGATCCATCATCACTCTGCCATCATCCTGTGGCCTGTCGTTGCCATCGCCGTCCCATGTCATTTCTCATCTCCCATTGCCTACCGACATTCTCCATTGAAATCTAGCTTGCTGCTTGGGTCTACCGTCTTCCAACCTCGTACATGGCGTTCCTCGGGGCGGATCCATGTGTGTTAGCAACCCCGCCACTCTCACCGAAGCAAACTGGGCCCAACATCATCAAATCGTCAAAAGTTATCAACCGCCAGCCCACTCACTCTTACACGCCCACTTCTATATTCAGCCTCCAAGACCGTACCGTACCCGTACGAGGAATATCGATAGTCCATCGCCAGACCCGCCTGCATCGTCCCCCTTCCTCTCTCCATGGGTTCCTTGGAACAACAGAGCGATCGCCATATCTTGCAAGTGGCCTTTCGTCTAGACTTGTCTGCACATGAGAATTCTACAACTTGCTAGGCACAATCGCCACTGCGAGCCTACGATCGTCCTTTTCCTCCTAGTTTGTCGGTTCAAATTCGGTCTTCCCGTCCGTGTCCGACCCATAATGCACACACAAAGTACAATCAGAGTAAGGGATCGCATTGTGACCAGGCCTTTCTTTGGCCAACCTTCGGTACAGCTCCTTGTCACAATCTGTTTCGACTCTCCAGCATTTTAAAAGTCTTCGGCCGTCGCCGCACATCGTCTCCATTATCGATAAATTATCAGCCTGGTCCCGGACCGCTGTGGGCACTGGCGGCACTTCCGGCCTTGTGCTTCAACTGAGCTCTCGATGCATGTCGTACTGCGACATGGGCTGCTCGGAATAGAGAAAGGAAAAAAACAAAGAGTCAAAACACGAAGAACGGGGGGGGGGGGGGGGGAACTCTCCGGAGCGGAAGCAAAATCAAGCATCCAGGGAGGATACCTTCTCGGCTTCGGAGCATCTGACTTCTTTGCGTTTCTGTTCCCGCACCGCATCGCATCGTACCCGCCCGACCAGACTCTGCCTCTTCATCGCCGTCGGGATTTTGACTCAGTCCCTCATCCTCGCGAGCATGATTGAGACCAACACCTGCAGTTCACCACCCCAATGCAGACTCGCAAAGTCGGCTATCCCCTGAGTTATATTAACCCAATTTAATCAAGCAACTCGAGCCATGGCAGACGGTCTGCTGGCCACCCGGGGTTTTCTGCAGCTTCTTCTTCAACAACGTCGCAACGAACCACGTCTGGAGTCCTGGACAACCCGCCCGCTGCTTAACGGACAAGCCAGGGACTGGCCTGACCTACCTGGGCTTGCCAAATCCCTACCCTTGTCTCCGTCCGACCTCCACCATGTCCGGTCCATGGCGGAGGGGTGTGCCTTGGCAGCCCTGGCCTAGTCGCCAGAATCCGAGTGGAACAGGAACCCACTGATACCCATTGAAACTGCTTTCACTACCTACTGTGTAGGAGCCACCGCCTTTCCCGTACGGTACTGTAGCACGCTGCCACGCACGACGGGCAAGATATCCACAGCTCACCGTTCGTCCTGCACCACCATCGACTCGCTGGCCAGTGGCGACAACTGCCATGACATGCCACGTGCTAAAAGACTACAATACAGGCTCGGCGCCCAACATGGCTGCCCACATCTATCCCGTCACGACAGTGTGCCTACCGCGGGCCAGCCGTTAATGTGAAAAGCCAACCCACGATCGATGGGTATTTACCGCTGTGAGCGAAGAACCACGGAGAGCACGGAACGCGTGGAGGAAGAACACCCAGAGTCTGGCAAGGGTTATCCCCCGGTACAAACTGGAAATTGAATCCCGTGGCTCTGGAAAAGCTTCCCAACGTCTGGAGTTCAGACGACTTAGGGACTAGGCCACCGAAATAAGGTCCCGGTCGCATTGACAGTAAGCATTGGATCTTCGCTGTGGCAGCCGTCCAGTGTCGCGGGATACTTGCTGAGACGCACCTCGGCTCAAACATGACACAACCACGAGTCGCCCTCGAAAGCGGGTCAGTCTCAAAAAGAGCCAGGACGCCGTTCCTCAAAATTCCCCAATGGTCAGAAGTTCAAAGTTCGATCTCCTGTTGATATGGAAGCGCCAATCTGTCGGGAGTTACAGCGCGCACGAGTAGGGGCTACAACGCTGGAAGCCGCATCCATCGTCATAACCGACCTCCTGGAGCGTCTGTAACATGGATAAAACTGGACCGACTCCGCTGGCGCTAGTTTCTACATGACATCCACTAAACTGTGCGACTGAGCAGAGCTGCGGATACAGGTTGATTTCCAGGAACAGCTCTGGACCTTCAGTCGAAAGAGAACGAAGGGGATGCAGATGATCAAACACACGTCACGGGAACTTGGATCGTCGCTCGCAAGTCCGAAGCATCTCAAGGTAGAGCGGCACCATTCAGTACCTCTGAACACCGAGCTCAATATATGCTGGTGTTTCTTCACCACTACTAACGGGCTGTTCGTACGGATAGCTGTCTGTAGTAAGCTTGCCGGCCCGTGGAATCAATACCTTTGTGCTTCCGGATTCCGGCTGGTGCCGCCTCAAAGGTACGGATAGTTTCCCGGCCATCGACTTCGAGCTATAAGCGACCGACCTCGATGATCCAGGCGCGGCTTGGCATGACCAGGGCTTCCGACTGGACCATCAGACGAAGAAGGGGACCTTAAACCCAGGGAGGCATACGGACCGGGGTCAGGATGGAATAGACCACCTGCGGCGTGTGCGGCAGCCGACCGACCAGGGCCAACCTAGCGCCTGCGTTGACAATGGGACGCAGATGCCAGCCGAGAGCCCTACAGATCGGCATTCCTACCTTGCCCCAAGTGAAGCTCGTTGAGCACCAAGGCCGGATCCAGACGTCCAAATTCCCTGTGCTAGGACATCTCGTCTATGGATGAGAAGGAAGAGGAGAACGAGGCTCGTCTATATTCTAGCATCCCAAAGAACCACGGTGGTGAGAGTAAATATCCCGAATCAGTTACGGGCACCTTCTGGGTGAGCAAATGACTCCATATCGACTTGACACACCTTTCAGTGTGGCTCAGTCGTCCACTAACAAGATGTAATCTAATAGTGAGTGACCTCACCGGCTCCATATTGGCCTGGCTGCCGGTGTTCTGCGTGTGCGTAGAAGCAGGCAAACAAGCCGAGCCGCATGGGTTCCTGGCCGACCTTCGTTCTTCGAATGAAGCCAATCTTGTTCAACTGCATGGACTTCGTCTCACCGAAGAACGGGTTTCTAATTGTTCAGTACAGATACACTTTGCCGATACTGAGGGCTCGTGTATTACGAATATATACCAAGGCAAGGTTATGACGATGGCGACAACCACAATGGCAATGAGAGAAGCAATTAGACACCTTCAGATGAACGGCCGGGAAAAGGGGAGATAGATGCACACTATGCGAACCCGAGTAAGCCATCCTGCGTGGCATGGAAGACATAGACCGCTCCCTCACACAGCCGGAACGATGTCCACAAGGTTTCCCAGAGTTGGACCAGGGACGGCAGTTCAGTTGATCATACCGTCACTGACCGAGCCCTACAGTATGCAATGCGCCGGTGTAGAGTAACGATGGCAGGAAGACTTGCCAGCGGCACGAATCAAGGTTCTTCTCGGCCTACGGTCTCAGAGAGGTATGCCGCAATCAAAGCCCGCAAGCTGTGAATTATCAAGTGTTGCCTACCCCGTACGAACCTCAACGGTCATTCTTTCTAGCACCCATGTGCCAGGGTCCCTATTCGGGATGGAACTTTAACATCAACACGTCCGAAACAGGCCGAGGGTTGGGCCTTGCGCGAGAATCAGGCTCGCATCTCGTTGGTGGAATTTTTTCGCGACAACCCCCCGGTAGGCCAAAATTCGAAGGACACTAACAACAGCTGCTCAGCGAAAGTATCGACGGGGCAATCGTGTCGCACGTCTCTGAGAAGGCTACTGATCTGACGGCTCGCTGGGCTCACAGATGCCTGACTTCATCGATTCCTGGGCACCCACGCAGATGGTTGGAAAAGATGCGTCGTACGGGGCCCATTGATCCAATGATTGCCAAGAGGATTGGGCGAACGGGAGGACATGAGGAAGCATGACGCGAACAACCTGCATACGACCGATGCATGGACGCTTCGTCTCGCCCCCAAGTGGTGTTGAGGTTTTTCTGCATGAGTAGTGGAAATCGGTACTCAGCTCCCACACCCTTGCAAGCAACTCCCCAACTCGCTTCAGAGTTGTTGTGCTGGAATTTTGCAGCTCGGGTGCTATGCGGACAAGAAACCTTAGACGGACAGTCCCCATCGCAATGCTTCCGCGATGCCGGCACTTTCGACTGCCTAGTCTTTGGCATCTAGCCGTTGAGCACGGATCCGGCAACCTCGACCATCGGCTATCAGGCCCTCGAGAGACTGAGCGGCCAGGTCACAGGCCAAAAATTGGATTGCCATGTGGAGAGGCGAAGTCATCTGGTCTCCGCGCATAGCCGAAAGCTGCACCGAGGCAGGCAGGAGTGGCAGGACATTCACGACTAGCAAACAAGGCCAGACCGCCTGCTGGAATCGATTCCCATTGCTCTCTGTCGGCGGCTGCCAATCAGCGAGGCGGCCTTGAGGCGAAGGGCGAGCCGCGTCGGGCAAGTGGGCAGGTTCCAGAACATGGCAGGCCGCAAGACAGGGCGCAAGGCAAAGAAAAGGCACGAGAAGATTCGTGGCAAGGCCACCTGAACTTCGCAGGTTGCCCTGGCCCTGCGAGAGAGGGGAGATGGGGACGAGATGTATGAGGGACGACAGCCACATCCACTTAGACCGACATGAGCATTTGCGGGCAATTTACCATTCCTTTTTAGAGGGGGGTTGCCGGGCCCAGAAGAAATCGAAGAACTAACACGTCGATTCCCTGGTTAGCGGCACTGGCTTGACGTTGACAGAAACACACACACACACACCCATACTCAGACATAGCTGGGGCCGTTCACGCTACGAATGAACCGACGCTACCTTATGTGCGGTACGGTCAGCTCGCCCGCTCTCGTTGAACATGACTCCGGGAGCAATAACTTGGGCTACCGCGAGTGCCAATGATGCAGGATAGCGCGAACGCGGCGGCGGCAGTAGAGCAGCTTTGACGATGCACTGTTTCCTGATGGTGTGGTCTCGACATTGACCGGCCCTTTTGCTACGGCTTTAGCACCGCCTCTGGGCTTTGCCTTTCCCATGCAAAGAAAAATTGCCAAACCGAATTGGGCTCATCCCGCATAGCGTGGGGCGCTGCACGATTCCTGGGTGAAAACAACCAAGTTCAATGGCAAGTGGCATTGGCACCAGGCCAGGGCCACGGTATCGACTTGGCCACGCTACTATGGACTGGAGATTGGAATCGCATATCCGACATCTAGCATCACGTTGCTAGTATTGAGTGGTATCAGAGCCACACAGGGATACCGCGAACTCCCCCTTCTCTCTGCGTGCTTCATTGCCATCTTGACAAAGGCATACCGAAGTGACATTTTTCATGGTCTGCTGTGTACCTCTGTAATCACGATGCATGTCGGACGAGATGCAGACGATGGATCTATTAGGCAGGTCTTCTCTGCGGATGTGATGCAAGAGGTAGGTGACCAAAAAGCGACGCCGATGAAGTTCACGACTCGATTGGTCCGTGGCCCATGTACCAATCTGGCGACTTACTCACAATACTTACTGCGTACGGAGTATCAAACACGTCTTTCTCACGTGGCGAGCCAAGACTAACGAAGACCATCACCCGTCCAGCGACAGCGACTGCGAGGCAACATGGAGTGTTCGATGCCGAGTTGATGGCCACGGTTTACGATTATTGGGTTGGGCAGCGGGGGGATCATCACGTCGAGTTGTTCTTTCGGAGGCTTCCATCTCGGGCGACCTGCCTTAGTGAACTCCAAGCCCCCAGCCCCGGTGCCGTACTAAGGCAGGGTAGGGTGCCAGACTGTTGACTTTTGAGGAGTAGGGGAGGCGGTGGCGGCGAGGGTGTCTTTGGCGAGAACCGGGTGGGCAGCGCACATACCAGGACAGGCCTGGTAGTTCACCGTTGCGACCTTGGCCCAGTTGATATATCGCACCTGGCACCCATCAGAATGATTTCCTTTCCGAAGCGAAGAGCGCACACGACTATGTGGATGAACGGACGAGCAGAGGGCCAGCAACAGACTTGAAAGGTATGACCTTGTTCGGACCGGTAACGCATGCAAAACGGCTAGTGCCCGTGTTGGCAGCGTACGGGTACCTCGACCTCGTCAAACCTAGGGGGAACAACCGGCAGAAGAAGCAGGTTGTTGTGGGTATTATACCAGTACAGCGGCTCCCAAACCAATCAGTCGTATTGGAGGACAGGACAGGACCGCTGGGTAGGTATGCAATACGGCACGGTGGGAGCAACAGCCTCAAGCTCCGAGAGAGACAAGACGGGCACCAGTTACCACCGACAAATGGTTGGTTTCCATCGGCTTACCGCCTCTCTTGCAGACTGAGTTCATGGTCCCGGTGCTGCTTGCTGCTGGTGGGTTTCGGCAACGTCAACGGCGGATAAGCAGGGGAGAATGAGAGAGAGTACGCAGTATGTGTTCAAACTTCATGCTTGGTGGACGGTCGACCGAGTTGATCAGTCTACCTACGGATGCGGATCCAGGATCTCTGTCTGTCAGATGTCTGTACGGGATGGAGCCATGCCGCAGTCTGAGTTTGATTCTGTTTCTGGCCCATTGGTCCTGTTCGACTGTTCCTGGGCCTGATGTGTCTGCGTTCCTGCTCACTGACATCCCTGCTACCAAGTTCGGACGGAAACTGGAGATGACCTGATGCGACCCGCACTCAATAACCATGCCGACAAAGTAGTCGAAACTTCTCTGGAAATACTTCAGTCGCCCCTGGAGCAAGTCATGTCTACATTGTGCCTCCCTGTCCCTGCAGGGCAGCATCCAGCAGGTGACGTCTGGTCTTCTCCGCTGCACAGCAATTTTGCTTCGGTTTGAGCTTTGTCACCCCCAGCCGGTGAGTGACCACTTCTCCCTCCTCCGCAGGCTCTGGTGTAGATGATGGAGATTAATGTAGTGAACAGGAAGATTTCACGAATAGATACGCCTGAGTCCTAAGATGCAATGCTGGGAACAATTCCGCGTTTGCCAACCTAATGCAACTCGCGAGACAACAATCATTATTGAGAACACAGATTCTCGGTGGTCCTTTTCGATCTTGACCACACCTGGCACCTTTCTCTAACCATCGAACTGGAAGCATATCAACGGTGCAAATACCTGGTGCATCTGCCCTCTAACAAGAATGAGACGAACAGTTGGCTCAAGGTTGTCTAGCTACCCTGCTTGTTGCTCAGTACGAATGGGTAACTTATGTTATTAAGACGTGGATTCCGCGGTCAACCCTCAACCGTCACCAAATGGCCCAGCTTTCTTTTTCGATGGATCGTGGCCGGATCTATCCAACCATGCCGCCCGATCCTGGTTGTCTGCAGACTGTCGTCCACAAGTCATTTCCTTCTCACCTGCGCACGACCCTGCTTCTGGCCACGGCCACGGTCATGACCACAACCACAGCCACACAAGTTCTCTCTCTCTCGCGCGCGCGCGCACTACTCACGGCCGCACGTCAATCGGCGAGCTAAGAACTAGGAGCTAGGAGCTAGGAGCCCAAGCCCAAGGTGGATGGTTGGTGGAGAGTAACGGTGACAGCTGGCTCTTCAAGGTTCCTCACTCACAGCCGTCCGTCTACGAGCACACCTGGTCCATGCCAACAACGTCTTGCCCACCCTTCCACTAGCAGCGTTGACCCTCGACTTCCAAGACCCTTCAACCCGGCTTGCCTATAAGCTAGGTCGCTAGGTATCACGAAGTGGCTTCTAGCTCCATCTCATTCTCATTCTCCAGTTGCATCCCCATCTCAGCCTTCTGCCCCCGTCAAAGTCAGCTCGCCCTGCCCGGCCGGCCTGGCCGTCAGCCACAGAATGGGTACCCTGGGGCAGGTAGAGTTTCATTTGGAGAACGGCCGCGCTGAAGAAGGGCCACCCATGGAAGGCGGCTGAAAGAGAGAATTGGACGTGGCGATTACTTCACTCGAGCCCCGAGATTCCTAGACAACGTCCCTACGAAATCGTTGCTGATGCCTTTGCTTTTCTGGCCGGCTGAGCAACACGAATGCAACGGGATCTGTATCCGTAAGAATACCGAGTTGGATATTTTGGCGAACCTGCGAAGCCATGGGTTACGGCAAAATTGCACGAGCACCGATCAAATATCCGCCGAAGACTGACGACACTGCATCTACGCCACAGTGCACCGTGGATTCATGGGCTTTGCTGTGTGGAGAGCCCGAAATGAGGCGAGGCACAGATCCTACACTGATGCCGACCTAGCTGAGCTTGTGTACAGTGACAACTTAGTATCTCGCCAGGACATCAGAGCTCGTCCAGATCGAGGACAGGCCTCGGCCTAGCCAACGTAGGTATTGATGTGCTCGTTGAGCTACCCGTGCTTTAGTTAGGTATCGACACCCGCATCCGCATCCGCACCCATAGTCTAGGTGCGTAGTACATGACTACATACATCCGTCTCCGTTTCGCTGGCGCAGCGCTAGGGCGCAACGTGCCGTGTGTCTTTGGAGAGGTGCCACCCAGTGGCCGCTAAGACTGTAAGACATCCTCCCTGCCCAGTCCACGGATACCTTAATCATGTCTCTCATCGTATCGACACTTCAGAGGACCATCCGAGACAGACGCGCAGGAGGACGGACGTGCCTCGAGCCGCTCAAGGATGATGACAGGCCAGGGCTCGGACGCGGACGGATAATACATCGGACGGCACAGCACAGGACAGGGCATGGCAGAACCATACTACGTACAGGACCACAGGGCCACAGGGCCACAGGAACGACTCTGAGTACCTTGTTATCGAAGAAAGTTAATTCTTTCTGAGTCACAAGTACAAGAATACAGTTTTAATAAAACAGTGTAGTGCCCACCCAGCACTTGAATTGAGATGCTTTTTCAAGCTTGCCATGAGAGAAAGATGACTGTACTGCTGACTGCCCACAGGAACGACTCACAAAGGAAATGGGACCAGGACAAGCCAAGCTCGGAGAGAACGAACGTGGATGGATGGATGGATGGATGGATGGATGGGGGACCAGAAGGCGCCCTGTCACCTTTTCTCCTTCCGCTGCCACGCTGCCATAGCCGCATCCCATCCCTCAAGCATCAGCATGTTCGGTATCCTTGCCTTCCTTCACCTACCTACCAATATTCGTACGCTATTACTTGGTACTCCGTTCGGATACCACAGTGAGTTGCCTTCTTACCCGTCGTCCGACATACCTTGCCCTGCAGCGGTCTCCGAGGGCGGCACCTCACGTACGGATACCGTGGTCCTTGCCCCATGCCAATGGTAAGGTACTCAAGGGTAGTAGCATTGCAGTGTAGCTGACGAGGATGGGATGGCAGGTTCCCTTACCTCGCCATTCAAGGCGTGGTTACGGATACGGATACTTCCTCTCTTTCCAGTCAACTCCAGTCTCCTCCCCCAGCGGCCTCGCAAGTTGCAACATCTGATGAGCACCAGACCTCTTACGTATATCCCCTATCATGGTTTGTTGTGCCACGGCTATCTCGTCGTGCGTGGCTACGCGTACGTCTTTTCCCATTCAATACCACCATCTCAGACCCGTCATCTCATCTCTCTGTTGCGCTCGCAGGTCGATCCCTCCGCCCGCCTCTCCACATATCCCATAACCTTCTTTCGACCCCGTCTACATTGCTGCATTCACACCCTCCCACCCCTAGTTCGTTCCTCGTTGTGTCTTTTCCTCTTCTTCCCCCCATATCCCTCACCCAGTTCCACGCACCCACGTCCGCTCATCTGTCTCCCCTCCCCCCTACTTACGTGCCTACCTACATACCGCTACCTTACCCCCTGGACCCTGGGCTACCGACACCACCACCATCACCACCGGCATCATAACCACGAGCATCAGCAGCCACCGCCGCAAACCTATGTGCAGCGATTACAACGGTGGCTCGAGCGTTGCCATGCGTTCCGTCAGTACGTACTCCGATATACCTGGCTCGAACGGTCTCTCGTCCTGGCTTACCTACATCTCCGAATGAGAGCCACAGCATACCACGGCCACATGGGTTGTCAACATGTTGTCCATGTTCTTTGTCCTGGCGTGCGTGCCTGGGTAAGCTACACTTCTTCCATCTGCAAGGTACTCGAGAGATCAAAGTCAATTAGCACAGGAAGATCGACCATCCTTTTCAACGTCTGCATTACCTATCTTACTGTGTATTCTATCCGTACGCATACTTACTCTCCTGGCTCATTGCTTGCTTCTTTTCTTTCGCAGATTCAATGTTCTCTTTCCCCACTCTCTGCCGCTTCCACACCCCTCCAAGCTCGCTCTCTCCAATACCATCGATATCAAGTCAATCTTACAGTTCCTCCACTCTCTCCCGCTGCCTGTCTTCATCCTGGCTTGGTCTCTGCCCTTTCTAGTGTATCCGTACATATACCTTGACTTGGAGAGTTACCCCCCGGGTGTTGGTCTGTCTCTCCCCCCCCTCCATCTACGGAGTTTGTACATACATCCTCGCCTAGGTATCCGTACCCTCCACCCATCCATCCCATCTTATCCTTGTACGAAATTCGTCCCATCCCATCCATCCCCCATCCGCATCCACCAGTCAGTCTTCTTTTCCTCCTTCCTGGCTCCCGGCTACATTGTAATACCCATCCTGCCATCTGCCATCTGCTACCGGCCCCGACATTCGAGACAACGTCCACCCCTCCCTGTCCACTCTCACCTGAACCATCCCTCCTTCGCATCCCCAATCAAATTTGGTACTTTGCACGCTGCATACTGGCCCTCACTGCTAAAGTTGCAAAAGTGAATACTGCGGTCGGGAAGAGACACAGTGAGGGAGAGCCTGCAGACGCAATGAAGCCCTTTTGATTTCCACCGTAAATTATTATTGCATCTTATTTCTCCGGTCCCTCTCTGTCTTTCGCTCTCTGCGGATAGTCTCGCTAGCTTTCTCTGGCCTTGGCCACGCCCGCGGCCCCGTCCCGTGTCCGCGTCTCTTCCTTCACTCACCTTTCACTGGACTGTGACCCAACTGACTCTTGTCTCCCCCACTGTCTTATTACGTTGTGGCTTCATACGTGCCTGGTTTAATCTCATGCGGGAACCCTCAGACCCAGCGCTACTATCGCCATCGCTACCGTCAACCAATATTATCATCTCCTCCCTGGCCACCGTACTGACTGCTTCAAGTTACTGGTTCTCTGTTTTTGCTGCCCACGGCTGGCAATGCTGCCAGTCTATGATTTTTCTTCCCTCTCTATCTATCTCTCTCTTTCACACACACACATACTCACTCCCTCAGACTCTCTCACTCTGTCCTTTTTCTCCTACACGCCCCCCCTCACCTTCTCTCACACTCAAGACGCATACGTCGCAGAAAGCATCGTACCTTACCTCATCCCAACCTGCACACATTCACACACACCTCTCACACACAGACGCGCGGAGAATTGTCGTTGAACAGGGGATCGTGATGGCATAGCCCTCTACCCTTGATTAGCAGCCACTCTAAAGACGTCGACCAGGGTGTTCCCTGGCCTACCTTTCCCTCGACCAGATCAACCCTGAACCACACCCTAGCTTCATCTCAATTGCCCCCTCCCCTCGTAGGTCTAGCAAGCCTGCCTCCAGTCACACAAAAACCGACCGGGAGCCACCGATCGACTGCTCCCAAAAAAAAAAAAGCCTATGGGTCCTTCTCTCCAACGTATCCAGCCCTCGAGAAATAACGCTGCTTTATTCCGGCCGCCGAGAGGAGAGAGAATCGGAGAGACAAAAAGAGGCTAGGGGTAGACTAGATCTACATCGTCTTCCTCCCTTTTCTCTACTTCCGCCCTTCTCTTTTTCTCTTATTCCATCACTTATACATCCGTACCCAAAGACAGGTCGCCGGTACGCAGCCATCCATCTCCGCATCCCGTGCCTGAGGTTCTGTCGTGGTACCTCCTGCAACTGCCCGCATCAGCATCGCGCTCGACGACCCGCCAGCAACGCCGCAAGGAGCTTCATTGGAGCTTGGAGGATCATTGTGCGGGCTTCCTGCTACAGCAGCCTCATCGTCTTACAGCATCGGGCGCTGCATATTCTCATTCCTGGCCTGCTTTCCTAGCATAGCTGAATCGGTCTTCTCTTGCGACTCTCACACCTAGCACGAACGCCCGGTTGAGTGACTAAAGACCGCTCGCGAGCTTGCACTGTCTTTGAAATACCCGCTGGTTCAGACTTTTGCTATTCGCCATATCGAGTATTTCTGCAGAAACCACGAAAGAGCTTTCTTCTCCCCATCGGAACCGGTGTTTCGAGACTGAGTGGACAAGAGGAGGAATTCAACTGATTCGATCAAGAGGAAAAGGCATCATTCGAAAGGAGCCACAGAGTACAACATCCCTTGAAAAAAGAAGGGTGATTTAATTTGGGCCCGGCGCACGCAAAAGAGCGACACGGATATCGCCAACAGCATACAACGCACCGGCAGCGTCTACGCAATAGTTTCGGCCTTTCGCAACATTCTGGGAAACGAGGCGTCGTCTAAAAGAAGGCGTGGGAAGCTCTCGACCCGAGTGCCTGTTGAAGCTGCATCACAACATCCATGCAAGCCATAAGTAGCGATTGCGATACGTCGTCTACCTCGTTCGGCCAGCGCCGAGGCATTTCCGATCTGGCGCGATTCGCCCTCGACCTGACCTGGGCAACGCCAACAAGAGCAGAGTCCGAGACTCCTGCTCGACCCAGAGCATATCCTTCCCCGCCCATGTCAGGGTCTCCTCCTCTCCCGCCCAAGCCAAACCCAGAGGCTGGTGACCGAGGGCAACTGCATGGCAGCTATCCGTCCACCAGTCCGCAAAATGCCTACCGGGGAGGACTGCCGCCAACGACGATACCGCAAGGCGACTACCGAGGACCTCCGCCTCCGCCGCATTCCTTGCCGCCACCTCAGCCTCGATCATATCACGCCGATCCGCAAGACAGGATGCCTTACTCATACCCTCGACCCGACGACCACCTGCGGACTACGCCTTCAGGATACGCACATCTGGCAAGCCAAGTCATGCAGCAGCGGCCTCCTCCGCCCTACATGCAAATGTCTGGGCCACCGCCGCCACAGCCAACAGGACCTCATCAGCATGGCTACGCGACAACCATGTCGCAGACATCCCAGGACAGCGGTCCCTATACGTCTCCCAAGACGCAAAGAAAGACAAAGGGCCATGTGGCATCAGCCTGTGTGCCATGTAAACGAGCCCATCTTCGGTAGGTTACCATTCTCCCCGCAGATATCCCAAGTGAAGCGGGTGGAAGTGGTATCTCGATACGGTGACGCTGACATTTAGTCTAGATGCGACGGTACGTACGAACTGGCTTGCTAGCTAGCCTATTTTTGATTTTTGGTTTTTTTTCTCTCCTTTTGCGTTTGCTTTCTTTAGGTTGTCATTTTTGCATTGTCCTTTCCGACTGAGGGATCGACCAAAAGAGGAAACTCCCGCGGACTGCAAGGAACCAGCACTGCAGCAGCCTCTGGGCGCATGCGGCTCCAAATTCTTGGGGGGAACAATACTTGACATCATGACCGGTCAAGAGGCTCCGAGAGTGAATCTGGACGCGGCATTAACCTAGCAAGGCGTACGTGCGTGCGACACTCGAAGCAGCGCAGGGATCAACCCCTGGACCTGAGACCGGTGCTGAGGGGAAGACGATCCCGCCTGGGAGGATCATTCGCAGAAACTCGGACGGAGAGTTGAGATGGTTGCGTTGAATGGGATGGCGCATGCCGTCAAAGGCTGTCAACCAAGTCTTACTTGGGTTGAGCGGGTGTCCGTGTGGCCCAACTGGACTGGCGTCAACCCCAGCAGAGAGAGCATTGGTCTTTCTTGGCCGGACTTCCGCGCCGGCCATCTCAGCTCCTCCAGCGTCTCTCATTCTCGCAACCATACAATCGGCGAACCACTACCGGTTCTTGCGCCGTCTGGTTCCTGGACCCGTTCGCCCCGGAATGTCGGCCCGGCATTTTGGGAAGATTGGCGGGTAACAGCCGGCACCCCCGGGAGCGACCCTCGAATCTTGATTACGGTTAGGGATGCGGTGAACTCGCCAATCGCGTGCCGTTGGACCGGGTGTGGTTGCTATCGATTGTGCCATTTCTGAAACAGAAAGCGGAGGCGATTTTCCCTTGCGCGAGAGCTTTTTTCTGGGTGGACTTGGCTGGTCGATCGCTGCTCCGTCTGGTCTGGTCGCGGGATGATCCAAGTGGACAGAACTAGCGTGTCATTGACGTGTCGGATGCGACGCATGGCAGCTGGTGAGCGGATGGG